ATTAAATTAACTATTCAAGAGAAATAATTTATTTTTTAAATCTTATTTTATTGAGAAATAATACATTTTACCTCAATATTTAAGTAGCGTTTTCCTTCTCCAGTTGCTTAATATTAAACATACTGACGTTTGCCTAATGTTCAGAATAAATTAATGAAACGAGTCTTTGATTGCAATTTATTGAACGTTTTAGGAAAACTTCGCCTCCCTCTTCAGCAATCTTAAATAATACAATAAATGTATGTTTTTTAGGTTTAGTCATTGTCAAAAAATACGTAACATTTAAAACCAATATCATTTAAATAAATATAATAATTTCTTTATACGACAATTGTTAATAGTCCGTGGTACAGACCTCTTTTTAGCAAATTATTAACTGAATTATAATCTGAAACTTTAACTGAAAAAAAAAAAAAAAAAAAAACATCTCAACAGGACCTGTAAATAGATCGGAAGAGATATCCTTATACAATAAATACAACGAACCTTCAAATCCCACAAGTAAAAAAAGATTAAGGTAAATCAGAGTATCGTTCCATCAGTATTAGTTCGTGGTACAGACCCCTTTTTATCAAATTATTAACATCCGGCTGAAACTTCTTAAATAGTTTCATCTCATAGTAACCTATAAATATTTTATTTACGTAAATTCTCAGAGTTGTGGCGTTTTCAATCTGAAGGTCAGCAAACTTTGTCTATTTAATTAGGTACTAAAACTCTTAAATACCCATTTGCTTTCCACTTGAATTGTAAGATAATTTGAGCACAGAGTCGAGAAAAAACAGAGCCTTAAAAAATATTGAGCCGTTTGTTGTGACCTATACCCCCAAATTGTAAAAATAACGAGGTTATATAGACCAAACGGGCCAATAATTTTGTAGGCCACATTTTTTATCGATTTCGTGATCAAATTATCCCACGATCGAAGTGGAAAGCAAATGGATACTTAAGAGTTTTTAGTATCTAATTAAATAGACAAAGTTTACCCTCCTTCAGATTGAAAATGCCCCGATTCCAAGAGCTTTCGTAAATAAAATAGTTGTAGGTCACGACGAGATGAAGCTATTTACGAAGTTTCAGGCAGATGTTAATAATTTGATAAAAAGGGGTCTGTACCACGGACTATAAAAACAACTTAAGTTAAATGTTATGTATTTTTAGATGATAATGAATGGATTCATGACTGAGTCTAAAAAATATATATTTATTGTATTATTTTAGATTGCTGAAAAGCGGGACGAAGATTCTCTGAAACGTTTAATAAATTGCAATCAAAGACTCATTTGATTAATTAATTCTGACCAATAGGCAAATGCATCACTGTACAAAGAAAAAAGGTCAAATCTGCATAATGAAAAATCAAGCATACTTATCAATCACAATTTTAAATAATACTAACATATACATATTAAAACATTATATATTTTTTTCAACCATTCCATATCACTAATCATACAGCATTACTATATGACACTAGATTAGCACTATTATACAACACATATTTGAGTTCTACTAATATAAACTCAGAAATTTACATTAAAAAATGCCAAATCAAATGATAAAATTACAATATTAAAACGCACACGTGTGTAACCAATATAGAGTTTTAATAAGAGAAACAACAAGATACGACTAGATAAATATCGGAGCGTTAAAGGAAAAAAAAAAAAAAAAACTTAAATTAAAACCTAATATGTTTATACATGTGTATATATTTTTCCTTTTTTTTTATTTTTTTTTTATTTTTTTTTTTTTTGTATTAATCTGTAGCGACCAAAATGGGTCAAGTAGAGACTAAAAGACCTTTTTTTTAATCTGCTCTCTCTCTCTCTCTCTCTATATATATATATATATATATATATATATTATATATATATATATATATATATATATATAAATATATAACATATTTATATATATACATATATTGTGAAATGTTGTAACATTAAAATATGAAAAATAGTGTATTTTCAATTTATAAACTATTGAATGAAGTTATTGATTAATTTTAATTTATTATGAATACCACTGAAGCAGGTATCGGTTGGGCTCGTATGTGGTTCTAAGAAATGATTCGAGCTGAGTTTTCAAGAAAGGAAGTAATGAAACCGATATAAGGAAAAACAAAACTATTATGTTTTTAATTTGGATGGGAAGACATTCGCAGTTCCTGAGATGGGTCCTTAAAATAGACTTTAAATGAAATATATAAATTCAATAAATTAAAATATACCAACTATCAATCAACTGAAAAAATATATAATAGTTGATTCATGGTTGACTGTAGTGAATAATTGAAGAGAAGTTGGTTGATGTGTTTAGTCAAAAATATAAAGTAAAATAAATAAATTATATTTATTTTAATTTATTACTTAAAATATCAGTTACTTATTTTTACTTTTTATTTTTGAAAAAAATATAATTTCCTTGATTCATAATAACTATATATATTAATGTGTATATATATATATATTATATTGCTTTTTAAAATTATATTTGTGCTTAAAAGTCAATCCAGATGTAAATTAATTATACCATCAGTTCCATTTTAGATGTTTCTAAAGAATATTTTTGAAAAATAAATTTTTTGGGGATAAGAGAACTCAGGGAAACGAATAAAAAAAAAAATCACAATTACCAAACTTCCTCTACATTAGTAATTTAAAGCCGTAAAAATAATTTAACTACATTATCTTATTTATAAATTAATCTGTATTCACCAAGTAATTAACATCAATTAATTAGAAGTTCATTTACAAGACAAATTTCGTTTAGAAATACAAGTCTGGAAATAATACTTGAGCCATTAAAGTGATATTTATGTTATCGTTGGAAAATAAAGATTTAATAAAAATACAGATTTTTTTTTATCTGTATACAAAAATTAAATAAATAAAAATTGTTAATAAATTTATGAGCGATTAGAAATACTATCTAGTGTCTATTACTTAACGCATTTCTTCAGCATCGCTGATTAAATAAACTGTTTTATTTATTTATTTTTTTACATGGCATTTCTAATCAGACAACGAACCAAAATTGGCTCTCACGGCTCAAAGAAACTGAGTCACGGTATAAATTGAAACCCTATATTTATAAACGTCACCGTCCAAGAAGTTTATTTGACTCTTCTATAAATAAAATTGGTGAAATACCAGAAAATATCAGCTAATGAGAATTCTAAAATAGCCTAGTTCAACTATTGCCTATTCGTGCAAACAACAAGAAAGTTGCTAATGTTTATGCACCTAATACCAACATTAAGTAATATAGATAAAATTTTTTTTACTTATATAGAAATATAATAATCTGTCACGTGGACAATAATTATAGTGAGATATGAACACATTCACACCATATATAAAGAAAACATAAAATTAACAAAAGTAAAATAATAACTAAATAATATTCAAACAACTATGTACAATAAAAAAATAAAATAACCTAAAGATAAATAAATTAAAAACATAAAAACTCTGTCATACCTAATATAGATAATAATAATGAAGATCGTAGTTGTATAAAGAGGGTTATAATGGTTTAAGCTTTAATGATAATAAACAGATTAAAGACGGCAGTAATGATATTTTATTGTACCGACCAAAATATTTAAAATAAAAATATACTGATACTTACTAATTTATATTAACTCTTAAAGAGATTGTGAGTTTATTAAGAAATTTGGGTTCTATTCATAACAAAAATTTCTTTAAAAATAATAAAAAAGTTTATTTTATTTAATTAAATAATGTTGCACTTAACCATATAGACCCTAAAAACTTGAATTATAATTTAAATAATTGAAGAGATGATTGGTTGAGGTGTCCATCACAAAAAAAAATAGTAGAAATAAGTAAATTATATTTATTTTTGCCGACGTTTCGACCCAAAGTTCAGGGCTAAAAAAATTCAATGCAATTCGTCAGGGATAAAAAAAAACGAAAAAGGATTTTCTCAGCCATGACGAAAGCTTGAAACATCGGCAAAAATAAAAATAAATATAATTTATTTATTTTTACATTTTTGATCGAAGACCCCAACCAATCTTCTCTTTAATTATTCACTGCAGTCAATAATTACCATAATGATGTATAATGAATATATTGATCGAAATATTTAAATAAATAAAGTATATATAGATGCTATATAACACTAACCTAGTAACTCTAGAAATGGTTTGACTGTTTTAATTTTTCAACATATCATTGCGAATCATACAAAATTAAATCAAAGCCTCGCGACCTTTCAATTTAATTGTCTATTTTTTTCTTTATAATTATAATTTATAATTGATTTGTAATTAAATTAATAATATATTTTTATAAGTTAATTTTTTATAAAATTATTGAGAATTTCCTTTCTTCTTATAATAATTACATATCAATTCGTTATGTCTCAAATAAATATTTAAAAAAAAAAATTAAAAATATTGAGATAAAAAATAGAAATAGGAGTTTCATATGCTTATTTAATTAAAACATTTTATACATCATTACTATACATTTAATTTTATAACAGCATAAAATTTTGTTAAGGTAAAATTAAGAGTTCCAGTAATGATTTCCTGTTGAAAAAATGGGCGTGGCACAATTTTTATTTTTAACTTCCTCAACAAGAAAACCGTTGTCATGACCATCACAACCCACTTCACTTTTTCTAAGCTGATAAATAGAATTTTCAATTAAATTTTTACAAGTAATTATGATATTAAGTAAAAAATTATTATTTAATATTTTTAAATAATAATAATAATCGTTAACAAATGAATTCAGATTTTATCACGAGTGAATTGATGGCTTATTAAAAAAAATAAAAAAAATATAACGTAAAATCAATACAGATCTTGCTTTAATTGATTCGAATACTTCATTCTGGCATAGTTTATATTTATCTAAAATTATCAGATTAACGTAAAAAAAAAAAAATTAAATGAAGCTTAATTTGGAGATGTAAAACGTATTCGCCTGTAGAAATTCACCTTTTTTTCCCGATTCCTGTAGGATAAAATTGAGAGGATGGGGCCAGGATCAGGGATGCTGTATGACGCAGGAGGAGAGGAGAGGGTAGAAGTGAATCAATAAAGGTCCCAGTGAGACACAACCTGTGGCCGTCCCTTCAAAACCCACTTCAAATCAGTTTAAATGCTCAAAATAAAAAGGCATACAATTAAATATGTGATATATATAGAGTAAATGGCTATAACATAGATCATAATTGATATATTAGCGAAAGATGAAAATTTATATAAATAAAATAAAGATTTTGTCTGTACATTGAATATAATCAACCCGTTTTATGACATATTTCCGTTTCATACATTGCAGACACCAAATCCACTTTTAAAAAATTTTTTGTCTGTCTGTATGTCCGCATTGCAACGAGGGGTAAGCTCAGCAATGGCTTATTGTAGACTTTTGAAATTTTGACATTATATTAAGGTTTACTTGATTTAAAACATAGGCTTTAAATGAAAACAAAATATTGAGCATAACCAAAGTTATGAATTCTTGAGTAATTTGTCTAGAGATCTCGGTTAATGTTGATAATAAATGTTAATAATAAACATATGTATTCATGTTAAAGAACATCTATATAAATAAAATAAAGGTTTTGTCTTTACATTGAATTGAATCAACCCGTTTCATGATATCTTTCCGTTTCACATATTACAGACACCAAATTCACTTTTAAAACATTTTGTTGTCTGTCAGTAAGTCCGCATTGTCTAACGAAATTTTGTCAGGGGTAAGCTCGGCAATGGATAATGGTAGACTTTTGAAATTTTGACATTAAAATTTAGGTTTACTTGACTTACAACATAGGCCTTAAATGTAAACAAAATATTGAATATAATCAGAGATATGAATTCTTGAGTAATTTGTCTAAAGATCCCAGTTAGGCAGTTACTTCGATTTTCATCCCAACCTACTCTACCGCGGGTCATATTTAACAGTTGTACTATTCAACTGATAGGAAAAATTATCACAACTCAACGGGGAAAATCCGAAATACCAAACATCTGTAACACGTTGGCTTAAAACACGGGTAAAACACATTCATTTTTCAATTTTGTCCGATCTTCCCTTTCAAGGTGTCATTCGATTCTACTTTTCGAGACTAACAAATGTTGTTGTATACATTTTTAGGATTAACCAAACGGAGTAGCCGGAAATCGGAAGAAAAACTTCTAAAAATTAAAATTACCTCTCCCCCTCACCCAATGTTATGAAATTAATCGCTCCCTCCCGTAATACAATATCCATCTCAAAAAAAGATTTTCAAATTTTGACTATACACCCGTCAACGATGGACACATACATACATTAAACCAAGGAACAAAAAAAAAAATTAATTTGAGAAATATAGAAATATTGAAATATTCTCAGTAAGAGTAATATTTATATCGACAGCCACACTGAAAAAGCCTGTAAGAATAAAAACTAAACATTTTCAGGAGACGAAAAAAACTGCGTAATTTTTGTTCTATGACCATTATATTTTCGGTTCAATCTTTTTTGCATGGCTAAGACAAAGGTGTAACGCTCTATGCAACTTTCTTGACCGTATATCTGCCGAATAATATTTTAGAGCCATTAACATTACCGTTACCGTAGCTTTTTAATTACTTTGAAAAGCATATCGTGTTTTTATTGTATAATTTGCTATTTACTATTGACGTGTTTATATGTTATATATTGTATACTATGCCTGTATTTATCTTTATTACTAGTGCTATTTATTACTATTTGTCATTTTATTGCTCGCTATATTCAGATGTATTATTTTGAATTATTGTATTATGTGGGATATTATATTACGTTTCATTGTTTATATTTAGGCATACAGTCAGATGCTTGGTTGTTATCAGAAGAGGATGTTGTCACTGAATCCTAATGAATTTTACTTTGCATATAAGTTGTAAATGTTTTTCATATTAATTTGTTCATTGTTATCATTATAGCCAACTCTATTTGAATGGGCCATTCCTTGAAAATAAATAAATAATATAGTAATAAAAAAAATATTACTTTGAAGAACAGGCATTAGTTTGGTAAAAACAATCGAATTTATTGTAGTAACACCCACAGCTTTCTTAATAATGATCAAACCATGACTGCAACATAGTCAGTTTCCAAAACATAGAGAAACGATACGTTTGGCTGGAAAGCGAGCATTTGATCACACCACTAGTGGATCCAGGATTTAATTTTAGGGGAGGGGGAGCTTCAGCCCGAAAGATTTTTTTTTAATATATATATACAACGATAATTAATTTGAAAAAAAAAAAGAAGAAAGAAACTAACTACCTATATGACATGGTGTTCAAGACATTCTTATATATACATTCTACATTTACATGACAACCTTTCCATAGATTTTTTCGGTGACGACACAATCTCTATAACTACCACTGCAACGTGCAGTTTTTTACATCACAATTAGCTGGTTTTTAAATTAAAGGTTTTTACAAAAGGCCATAGAGAAGAAATGAAACATCGTAGATTTTATTTTATGGGATCAGAAAGTGGAATGGACCAGGAAAGCTTAAAACCTCATTTTCCAAAGAAATTGTCCTTACTGGGCTTTTGCAGTGTGGCTGCCGATATATTGATTTTAATATTTTCTCTTTTAATTATTAAATTTATTCCTGGGTGAATGAAAATTGTTGTAACACGAAATAAAATTAATATATATTAAAATCGTTGTAAAAAATCTCCAAACTGAAAAAAAAAAAACAGAACAAAAGCACTCCCAAAGATTTATATAAAATCTATTTAGTACGTAATTAAGTTTGTAGCAGGGGTTGAAACTTTTTTTTAAGAGGTTCCATTTTAACAGTATCTGTGAAACTTTTTCGGGAAAAGATCTATTTTAACTGTTTGTGTGGAACTTTTTAGAAACAAAGTTTTTAAAATAAAAGTTCTAAGTATAAATAAGTTTTTAGGAAGGACCATTAGAATTAGCCGAAGAATTATTTATTTTTTAATCCCAGGAGACATTTTAATTTTGGAATAAATTTAGGGTTTACAAACAATATTAAAAATACATTGATTAGAAAAATAATATTGTTACAGTGAACGTAAATATTTCGAGTTCTGTGAAATACAGAAAAAAAACTATTGAGGGCCAGTTGCTCCAACTTAGTAAAGCTTAGATTAAGCGTTGTCTAAGATTAAACCAAGTTTTCAAAGGTCGTTTGATCTAGATTAAACTTGGTTTAATCTTAGATAACGCTTAATCTAAGCTTTACTGAGTTGGAGCAACTGGCCCTGAATCTCTTATCAAAACATATGTAAATAAAACTGCTTTTATTTATAATGGTAAAATCTTGCAAAATATAATACAACAAAATAATAAATAAAATCTCATCCTTAATGTTATAAGAATTGATAACGAAAAATGAGTGGAAATTAGAGCAACCTTTAAAACGCCTCGTGATTTAACCCACAAACATTTTTGACAGTTTCGACGTTAATTATCAAGGGTTATATATCTAAGAATAATTAAAAAGTAAATATGGTTCGATTATATGGAGTAGTTGTGCGAACTCAAATAACTTCGATTAGGCCTATGTACAAGTTAAAAATGATTTAATTACATCAGTGAGGAATTTTTGTACAGCAGGCAATAAGAATAAAAGGATTAGAGTTTTTCTTTAGAAAAGAAAGACATTTTTGGAGACAATATTATTTTTATGTTGTATAAAAATTTATTTTTTACTTGACGAACTACCTATATTCCTAAATGAAATCATGTCTAATATATATATGAAGATATCTTCAATAGGGTTCTTGAGGTAGGTAATCAACAGATTTTGAAATTTCAATGAATACTTAAGTCAGCGGAAAACCACAACTTTGTGTTAGGCATAAAACATTTACTTTTAAAATTAATTCCCAAAAAGTAATCCTCAGATAATTTTTTTTTTTGCTCCATTCCTAGTTTTAGTATTTGTTTTAAATTATTTTTTATTAAGATTACAAACTGAGTTGGCCTGCTAAAATTGTTTTTAAATCCACTTCATATACGCATACAACCATTCATATCGTTTTAACTCTAAATAATTAATGCATATACTTAAAAAATATAATCTATTTTTTTTAAGAGCATACACTTTTTAAAAGTAGATTTTTTCTTTAAATTTTTTTTTTATTTATAGAAACAAAAACTACAAAATTACAAACAGGAAACATGATGCTATAAATTTTGTGTGGGGAAGTAAAATTTTTTTATCTATTCCGTTTAAGCCATTGGTAAAATCGCTTTCATTCAATTGGTAAAACTTCTTACATGTGGCTAAATTAACTATCGCAAATATTGAATAGAACAGATTTGAATAGAACCTAAACGAATAAATTCTTTATACTTAAAAAATATTATCTTTCAATAAATAAAATAATATTTTATTTTAATAAATAAAAATTCGTAAACTAAAAAAAACACAACTTTGTTTTAAATATAAAAATAAATTGATGAAATGGCAAAGTTTTAAACGTTTGGTTCAGTCTTATTGGCCTCGAAGTCTGTCAAGTGTTGCCGAATGAGATAAGATAACCGTTATTACACAATAGATCATAAGCGGTGCATTAAATTGCTCTTACAAGTGTTTTCCTGATATTGCATAGTTATGTTTGAACGAGGATCAAGACCAAGATTAGCATATCTAAGGAGCGTAACAGGCATGTAAGAACTTACTTGCAAATTGGTCCTGACAGCGAAAATTGAAATAAATAAGCGTGTATAATCTCCGACGGTAAAAAACGTGACTTCTGACAAAATTAAATATAGGCGTGATGTAAGTACTAAAGATGTGCAGATAGTTAATGCCAATTAGCAGTTAAAGCTCATCAATTAAGTAATAGTTTTAATTAGAAGTGTCTTTGAAAATAAAAAGTTATTTTTCTCGTTGCTAATTTTATTTATTTATTTCCCATGAGAAGTTCCAGTAACCAAAAAAAAAAAAAAAAATAAATAAATAATAATTTATGGCCACCTTGACAAAATAAAACAATTTATATCAGTTAAGTAACATAACTCAAAGTAATATCTAAAAAAAGTAATTTACAATAAATATATTATA